CCCGGCTCTGCTTTCGCCCCCTCCCGCAGACGCAGGCGGGGATCTGGAGACCTGCCCGCAGAGAAGAAGCCCGGAGGCAGCGCCTCGCCCCCCTTCCCCGTTCGGGGAGAGATGGGTGTCCGCCCGGGTGGGCGAGGGGAGGAATTAAGTCAATCGGTGTCAGACTGGTTTAAAACAAAAACGCAAATCCATTTTCTCCAGGGCTTTGACTCGGTCCTCCCGAGGTGGGACGCGGAGGATCGGCGCGTGGGTAAGTGTGCGAGAGTGTGCGCGCGTGTGTCACACGGCTGGAAGAAGCTCGACCCCCCGCCCGCGCCCTCGGGGGGGAGCTTCGCCCCGCCTGGGGCCGAGGGAGCCCAGGGCCCTGCAGCCTCCTGGGAAACAGCCCCGGGAGGGGGGAAGAGAGGCCGAAGTAGTTTTGCAAAAAAGTTTCGATGGACGATCCTGCTGGGCGGCGCTTGCACACGCGCGCCCGCGGGCGGGCACGCGCACGCCCAGGCGGCGCACGTGGGCCAGCGGCGTTGCGCCTTGTGTGTGTGTTCTCCCTACACCCCCCCCCCTTTGTCAAGCCCAAACTCTCCCTGCGAAGCTGGGGAGGGGGATCTTCCCGTGGGGACAGGGCTCGCCCTCCACCTCCACCCACAGACAAGTCCTACACTCAGTAGTAGGGAATGAGCCCCCCCCCATTTACACACACACACGTGGAGTCCCTGTGGGGACAGGGCTCCCTCCAGCTCCAGCCAGGAGGAGCCCTGGAGGGAGCAGCAGGGAAGCGCGCTCCCCCTGCCCCCCCCGACACGCGCACTCCCAAAATAAAAAGAGAGTTGTTGATTTTTTTGTCTGTGTGTTTTGTTTTGGCTGCTGGGCCACCTGGCTTCGTGTTTTGGCCTCCCTCCCTTCCCCCTCACACTAGGTCACTACGGGCCGGGGCTGCGGGCACTAGGCCTGAGCAGCCCCGCAAGGCGACCAGACGCTGCCCCGGGTTAGCAGGCGGCAGACGTGCCCGGCCAGAACAGAGCCACCGGGGTCCCAACACCCCGAGAGGCGGCAGCAGCAGCAAAGCCCGGCTCTCACACACACACACACACACACACACACACACACACTTGTAGGGGAAGGAGATGGCACCTCTCACACACACACACACACACACACACACACACTTGTAGGGGAAGGAGATGGCACCTCACGGGCTCTGGGGCCGCTGCGCCCTGAGGGAGAAGGGAAGAGGGGCAGGCTCTTGCCCTGCTGCATGTGGCAACCGGCCGCTTTCCTGCCTGGTGCAGGGGGCTGCACCCCATGATCGTGCCAGCGCCCTTCCAGCTCCGCACACTCTATGAGAACAAACCAGGCGGGCTGGCTTGTCCACACACACACACACTCCCATGCACCCCTTTGCGCGCACGCCCCTTTGCACACACACCATGCACAACTCCCCATACACCCCTTTGCACACATGCCCCTTTGCACCCCATACACCCCTCTGCACGCACGCACACCAGGCCCTTGGCGCGCACAAAGCCCCGCGGTTCCCCTGCCCGCAGCGCGGGGCCCGGCGCTTGGGGTAAAGACGTCAAGTGGAGCACATAGCCCCGCGCTGCGGGGCGCAGCCGCCGGCCCCCGGGGCCCCCTAGCCAGGTAGGGGCTGAGGTCGTTGAGCCCAGGCGGACGAGTGGGGGCTTGAGCCCCGTTGCCCCGGCCGGCAGGGCGCGCCGTTCCCCGCCGCTCGCGCAGTCAGAGCCGAGCCCGCGCCAAGCCCGCGCGCCGGGCGCTGCCCGCAGCCCAGGCCGGGGCAGGAGAGGGCTCCCTCCAGAGCAGCGCCTCCGCTCCCGCCTCCCCTCGCCCGCGTCCCTAATTCGATCAGTGATTTCAATTTGAAATTGTTAGTAACTAATTTTATGGCTAATTTTTCCACATCAAATATTTAAGCACCAGATTAAGGGACACAGGATAATCAGAACGGAGGAGGGGGGGAGGAGGTGGCGAGAGCCGGGGCTGGAGGTGAGGGGGGGGGAAAAGGATCCTACCGAGTCAGTTTAGCAAATCCCCAAAAGATGGCAGTCGAAGCTGACATTCCTCCTCCTCTTCCTCCTCCGCCGCATCGGGAGAGGGCAGCGGAGGGGGAGAAGGGCACGGCAGCCGAGCTGCTTTCCAAGCCATCCGGCCACGGGGGATGCAACCCGCCCGCCGCCAGGCCCGGGACCAGCCTGCCCGAGAGCCCGGAGCCAGTGTCTCCAGGCCAGGGCTGGGGAAGGGAAGAGAAAGCCTCCAGATATTTATTTTCTTCCTCTGTTACGGCAGATCCGAGCGGATGAATTGCAGACCGGTTGCCAAAACTTCCCCCCCCCCCCACCT